ATCTACTTATCATAGAAAACGGGAAATTTGTATCATAGAAAATGGGAAATATCTACTTTCCGGGAAAGTTGGTTATCTACTTTCCGAAAAGTAGATTATCTACTTTCGAAAGTAGATTATCGACTATTCAAAGTATATTATCGACTTTGGGGAAATATTACCTAATTTTTCAAAGTAGATTATCATAGAAAACGGGAAATTTGTATCACAGAAATGGGAAATATCTACTTTCTGAAAGTTGGTTATCTATTGAAAAGGAAATTTGTATATAGAAAATGGAAATATCTACTTTCCCGAAAAGTAGATTATCTACTTTTCGGGAAAGTAGATTATCGACTATTCGGGGAAGTATATTATCGACTTTTGGGGAAATATTACCTAATTTTTCAAAGTAGATTATCATAGAAAACTGGAAATTTGTTTTCTATGATAAGTAGATAACCAACTTTCCCAGAAAGTAGATATTTCCCATTTTCTATGATACAAATTTCCCGTTTTCTATGATAAGTAGATAACCAACTTTCCCAGAAAGTAGATATTTCCCATTTTCTGAGATACAAATTTCCCGTTTTCTATGATAATCTACTGTGCAAAATTAGGTAATATTTCCCAAAAAGGCGATATTCTACTTCCCTGAAAAGTCGATAATCTACTTTCCCGAAAAGTAGATAATCTACTTTTTGGGAAAGTAGATAACCAACTTTCCCGGAAAGTAGATATTTCCCATTTTCTATGATACAAATTTCCCGTTTTCTATGATAAGTAGATAACCAACTTTCCCAGAAAGTAGATATTTCACATTTTCTGTGATACAAATTTCCCGTTTTCTATGATAATCTACTTTGCAAAATTAGGTAATATTTCCCCAAAAGTCGATAATCTACTTCCCCGAAAAGTCGATAATCTACTTTCCCGAAAAGTAGATAATCTACTTTTTGGGAAAATGAATAATATTTCGGAAAGTAGATATTTCATTTCTCAATGCAAATTTCCCGTTTTCTATGATAAGTAGATAACCAACTTTCCCAGAAAGTACATATTTCCCATTTTCTGTGATACAAATTTCCCGTTTTCTATGATAATCTACTTTGCAAAATTAGGTAATAATTCCCAAAAAGTCGATATTCTACTTCCCTGAAAAGTCGATAATCTACTTTCCCGAAAAGTAGATAATCTACTTTTTGGGAAAGTAGATAACCAACTTTCCCGGAAAGTAGATATTTCCCATTTTCTATGATACAAATTTCCCGTTTTCTATGATAAGTAGATAACCAACTTTCCCAGAAAGTACATATTTCCATTTTCTGTGATACAAATTTCCCGTTTTCTATGATAATCTACTTTGCAAAATTAGGTAATATTTCCCAAAAAGTCGATATTCTACTTCCCTGAAAAGTCGATAATCTACTTTCCCGAAAAGTAGATAATCTACATTTTGGAAAAGTAGATAACCAACTTTCCCAGAAAGTAGATATTTCCCATTTTCTGTGATACAAATTTCCCGTTTTCTATGATAATCTACTTTGCAAAATTAGGTAATATTTCCCCAAAAGTCGATAATCTACTTCCCCGAAAAGTCGATAATCTACTTTCCCGAAAAGTAGATAATCTACTTTTTGGGAAAGTAGATAACCAACTTTCCCGGAGAGTAGATATTTCCCATTTTCTATGATACAAATTTCCCGTTTTCTATGATAAGTAGATAACCAACTTTCCCAGAAAGTACATATTTCCCATTTTCTGTGATACAAATTTCCCGTTTACTATGATAATCTACTTTGCAAAATTAGGTAATAATTCCAAAAAGTCGATATTCTACTTCCCTGAAAAGTCGATAATCTACTTTCCCGAAAAGTAGATAATCTACTTTTTGGGAAAGTAGATAACCAACTTTCCCGGAAAGTAGATATTTCCCATTTTCTATGATACAAATTTCCCGTTTTCTATGATAATCTACTTTTAAAATTGGTAATAATCTACTTCCCCGAAAAGTCGATAACTTTCCCGAAAAGTAGATAATCTACTTTTTGGGAAAGTAGATAACCAACTTTCCCGGAAGTAGATATTTCCCCGTACAAATTTCCCGTTTCGGAAAGTACATATTTCCCAGATACAATTTCCGTTTTCTATGATAATCTTTTCTCGATGAAAAGTCAATTACTTTCCCGAAAGTAGATAACCAACTTTCCCGGAAAGTAGATATTTCCCATTTTCTATGATACAAATTTCCCGTTTTCTATGATAGTAGATAACCAACTTTCCCAGAAAGTACATATTTCCCATTTTCTGTGATACAAATTTCCCGTTTTCTATGATAATCTACTTTGCAAAATTAGGTAATAATTCCCAAAAAGTCGATATTCTACTTCCCTGAAAAGTCGATAATCTACTTTCCCGAAAAGTAGATAATCTACTTTTTGGGAAAGTAGATAACCAACTTTCCCAGAAAGTAGATATTTCCCATTTTCTGTGATACAAATTTCCCGTTTTCTATGATAATCTACTTTGCAAAATTAGGTTATATTTCCCCAAAAGTCGATAATCTACTTCCCCGAAAAGTCGATAATCTACTTTCCGCGAAAAGTAGATAATCTACTTTTTGGGAAAGTAGATAACCAACTTTCCCGGAAAGTAGATATTTCCCATTTTCTATGATACAAATTTCCCGTTTTCTATGATAAGTAGATAACCAACTTTCCCAGAAAGTACATATTTCCCATTTTCTGTGATACAAATTTCCCGTTTTCTATGATAATCTACTTTGCAAAATTAGGTAATATTTCCCAAAAAGTCGATATTCTACTTCCCTGAAAAGTCGATAATCTACTTTCCCGAAAAGTAGATAATCTACTTTTTGGGAAAGTAGATAACCAACTTTCCCAGAAAGTAGATATTTCCCATTTTCTGTGATACAAATTTCCCGTTTTCTATGATAATCTACTTTGCAAAATTAGGTAATATTTCCCCAAAAGTCGATAATCTACTTCCCCGAAAAGTCGATAATCTACTTTCCCGAAAAGTAGATAATCTACTTTTTGGGAAAGTAGATAACCAACTTTCCCGGAAAGTAGATATTTCCCATTTTCTATGATACAAATTTCCCGTTTTCTATGATAAGTAGATAACCAACTTTCCCAGAAAGTACATATTTCCCATTTTCTGTGATACAAATTTCCCGTTTTCTATGATAATCTACTTTGCAAAATTAGGTAATAATTCCCAAAAAGTCGATATTCTACTTCCCTGAAAAGTCGATAATCTACTTTCCCGAAAAGTAGATAATCTACTTTTTGGGAAAGTAGATAACCAACTTTCCCGGAAAGTAGATATTTCCCATTTTCTATGATACAAATTTCCCGTTTTCTATGATAAGTAGATAACCAACTTTCCCAGAAAGTACATATTTCCCATTTTCTGTGATACAAATTTCCCGTTTTCTATGATAATCTACTTTGCAAAATTAGGTAATATTTTCCAAAAAGTCGATATTCTACTTCCCTGAAAAGTCGATAATCTACTTTCCCGAAAAGTAGATAATCTACTTTTTGGGAAAGTAGATAACCAACTTTCCCAGAAAGTAGATATTTCCCATTTTCTGTGATACAAATTTCCCGTTTTCTATGATAATCTACTTTGCAAAATTAGGTAATATTTCCCCAAAAGTCGATAATCTACTTCCCCGAAAAGTCGATAATCTACTTTCCCGAAAAGTAGATAATCTACTTTTTGGGAAAGTAGATAACCAACTTTCCCGGAAAGTAGATATTTCCCATTTTCTATGATACAAATTTCCCGTTTTCTATGATAAGTAGATAACCAACTTTCCCAGAAAGTACATATTTCCCATTTTCTGTGATACAAATTTCCCGTTTTCTATGATAATCTACTTTGCAAAATTAGGTAATAATTCCCAAAAAGTCGATATTCTACTTCCCTGAAAAGTCGATAATCTACTTTCCCGAAAAGTAGATAATCTACTTTTTGGGAAAGTAGATAACCAACTTTCCCGGAAAGTAGATATTTCCCATTTTCTATGATACAAATTTCCCGTTTTCTATGATAAGTAGATAACCAACTTTCCCAGAAAGTACATATTTCCCATTTTCTGTGATACAAATTTCCCGTTTTCTATGATAATCTACTTTGCAAAATTAGGTAATATTTCCCAAAAAGTCGATATTCTACTTCCCTGAAAAGTCGATAATCTACTTTCCCGAAAAGTAGATAATCTACTTTTTGGGAAAGTAGATAACCAACTTTCCCAGAAAGTAGATATTTCCCATTTTCTGTGATACAAATTTCCCGTTTTCTATGATAAGTAGATAACCAACTTTCCCAGAAAGTACACATTTCCCATTTTCTGTGAAACAAATTTCCTGTTTTCTATGATAATCTACTTTGCAAAATTAGGTAATAATTCCCAAAAAGTCGATATTCTACTTCCCCAAAAAGTCGATAATCTACTTTCCCGAAAAGTAGATAACCAACTTTCCCGGAAAGTAGATATTTCCCATTTTCTATGATACAAATTTCTCGTTTTCTATGATAAGTAGATAACCAACTTTCCCAGAAAGTATATATTTCCCATTTTCTGTGATACAAATTTCCCATTTTCTATTAAAATTTACTTTGGAAAATTAGGTAATATTTCCACAGAAAATGGGAAATATATACTTTCCGGGCAAGTTACTTAACATAGGTAATATGTACGACACCACGACCAAGAAAGATACTCTTGGTGGTTGATTTTGCTGCTTAGCACTGTTGTTATGGTATGTATTTGATCTTAATAGTCAAGCCATTACATACTGTATTCGGATAAATATGCGTAAATCAATTCCATCCCATGTTCATAGGATTTTAACATTACATCCTAAAAGTCATGTAGTTATAGTTTATTAAACAGAAGGTTTAATGATAAAATACAATTTCAACATACTGATTTATTAACGTGAAGAACAGACATGGGAATCTACACACCTTTCAAAATACAACATAATATCAGCCATACCGCTTTGAACCAAGGAAAAAATCTTAATGCTAATGATACAGACAAAGTATTTATGTGACGTAAATGTCTGTTGCCAGCAATTCAATACTTCATTTGCCTGTACGAGATGTGATCAACAATAACATATCTTGCAGAGTGTTTCAGACAAGGTCTCTCTCTTCCATGGTTTTGTATAATATCCTGAGCCCAACACAAAGCTTTGCTTGGGAGTTTATTAATCACTGATTACTATTTTTCTCTAGTATAGCAAGAACAGCATCTAAAGATGTTAGAAACAAAAGTAAACAAGGTTAAAACCTGAGAAATTTCTCAGTAAAAGTCAACCTTGTATACTTTTATATAATGCTGGTTAATTATATACTTCATAATATGAACATCAAACTAGAAGTGCATGCAATGTATTTGGGAATTTGCCTGAAACACTACATTACTACACATTTCAGTGGCATCATTCCCTATATACATGCTAGATGTACATTATTAATATTATTCATTTCCAACTAAAGCCTCAAGCTCTCTAACAGTTAATTATAGTGCTGCACCTGATTCAAATACACAGCACTCAAATCTAATAAGATTAATATTAAAGGTAATATTCAGCGACAAAATGAAAATTATTGGACAAACCCACGAAAATGTCCTAACTTGGACACTGACATTGGTGCTTCAGTACAAATAACTTCTATTTCTCAGTCGCTAAACCTCACCATCGTGTTTATTAATGTACAACAAGGACGAATCAACAAGGGAAACAACACCTGACATAAAAAGAAGGGGATGGGAGAGTGTGGCTCACTGGTAAACCTGTTGAGGCTTTAAGTAAGAAAATTGAACTTGTAAGAGCTTGTCACAGCTGCCCCATCTCTCCACAACCTCTTCAACTCTGCACACTTCAGGTGGGACTTGAAGTCAATATAAAAGAGAAAGCAATTTCTTTACGACATCAAGTGAGATTTCTGAAGGTTGATTGGAAGACAGCGACATGGTCCTCCATTCTTTAAAATATAAATTCCACACTACCTTGCATAAATACCTTGGATCTGAATGAAATTAGGAGGACCCCCATGCCTTCTGCCAAACAATCCATTAGAACACTCATGCTATGTCTGATGAATAGTGACAAGAGCAATAGTTACAGACAGTAAGGTTCTTCCCTGCTTTAAATGTTGAGATCCATGAGAAATATTCTACTATACTGCATTTAACAACAGCAAAAATCTGGTTACCAGTATTGCTAGCTTGATTCATTAGCTACCTGACTTTTTTTATGTAAATAATATGCATTTCTGAATTACACAGAGTGTTTCATCTGAGGAACAGGAAAAAAAACAAAAAATCTGTTGGTCCTCCTCTCATACCCGCATAGTGTAGACTGAGAAATGTGCTTATAATGTTCTACATTTTCCTGTGTTATAAACAAACTTTCCATAAACTACCACATTAATCAAATTACCTAAAATGATGGTAAGTTGCACATACACCAGCTAGTAATTATTTACCATATATTGAAAAACCAACACCCAATTTTAACATATAAGGAGAAGCAAAACACAGGAGAATGAGCAATAAGAAGAAATCCCTGAGAAGTATTGCAAAAGTATCGTAGAAGATCGGTGCCCTTGACTCATCGTTACTCAAGGTTTTTAATTTTTTTTTTCGTTTTTAGTCTGCACCTTAAACATTTAATATATTTTTTGTTAAATATCTCATTAAAGAGTTGATTATGGTGTTTGTTACAGTCACTAAATATATGCCTTGGTGACTATCTCAATGAGGATTTATTTCCAATCACATTGTCATTAATATGTAATTATAGTTTACCATAAACTCAAATACAATGAGATGAACATAAATAACAAACTCAAACATTGACAGACAAGGCAAATACTCAGGACATGACACACACCAACTATGAGCAGTGACAGTACTTCAAAAATGCATCTACATCCAACAATATAGAATATCACCATTGCTTACTGTCTGTAACTGTAGCTATTATATTGCATTTTAACTTAACCTGATGGTGTAGAACAGCTTTTTTTATGTTTATCACTTACCAAATGTAATGTGGAGATAAGATACTGAGCCATATGAGGTACCACAGCTTGATCCTAAGCCTGTGAAGTTCAACACAAGGGGGAAACAATACCATCATGTTGATGGCTGAGTCCCAACACCAGCTCACTCCTACATCATATCTCAAATCAGATGGTAACTGCAGCAAACATCTTGACTAATATAGTCAATAAGAAGACAAAGCTTACTGCTTTATGTGACAGATTAAAGTCAATCCTGGAATTCAGCCTCAAGACTCCAAGCCACTGATCATTTACCAATTAACAATAAAATGGTTTGCCCAATGACAGATGTAACATCTTTAATTGAAATGCCCTAATTATGCAAAATTACCCTTAAAAATCAACAAGGTAATTTACAAAGTGACAATGTGCTAAATTAACGGTGAAAACAGAGGAATATATAGTCTCCTTAAAACAATGAAAAATTAAAATAAATTTCGTTCCAACATAGTGAACAGAAATAAAAACTTAGCTAATAGCCCTACTTAACAATATCCTAACACTTTATTTCTTAAAACTCTCAGTAAATCTTCATAATTATAATAGAAAATCCAATGAAGAAAACAGATCCTGGACTTAGGACACCACTCTAATAAGTATCCGGTTCAGTAGTAATTAGTAAGCAGATGAAATTAAGTGATGCCACCCAATTCTAGACAGTCAAGTTTGAGGCGATCTACATGATGACCAGTGGTGATTGATACACTGAAGTTACCTAATACATTATGTTATATTTCAAAACTGTTGGTTCAAGTTCAGAACATATTAAATCATTAGTGTTATTATTTAAATTAATCAATATTTCTAGCATGAATCACTGGTAATAAGTGATAAGAAATTCATAGCTCACATGAAGGACCAACAAGTAATTCCGAAGAGCCTCAGTGACTACCTAGAATGGGTAAAGACAAACATGGAAGTCTCAACCTAGATAATATAGAACTGCCAACTCCAACAAGACACTGTTGTACCGGTATATGAATCACCTTGGTTCAGTCCTCCCCCAGTGAAAATGAAAAAAGAGGCTGAAAACAAGAACATTGTTGAGTGTCCATCTATCTAATATCACAATGCAGACAACTGTCCAGTTTGATTCAGTGACTGTAACAGTAAATTTATGAGTCATCACAACTGGGGTTGAAATTTTAATAAAGCATGACAGGGAATATGAAGTGCATAAATAGTACCAAGTAATTACAGCTACTGTTACAGTCAGATTTTAGTCATAAACTTACAAAATTTTAATATGGGTCATTCTGAGTCACCCAAAACTCTTTTATATTATCAAAACTTCAAAATCATCCAAAATATTGGATGTATGATCTACCACTACAAATACTTGAAAAATAGTCCATAATACATGTAAGTTTGTAACTACAATTAGACTCGGCTCACTCAAGTGAAGATGTGAGAACTATGAATTGGTTTCATCATAATTAACGTATGCAATGGGAAATATCAGCAATGAAGACAATTTGAAAACAAATTAATAACAGTATACTTGTCTTCCTGATCAGAATTAAATACCAAAACATCCTAATAAGCGTACAGTGAGGAGTGTTATGTTTTGATTAAATCTTGATGAAGGAACATTTATAATATTCCATTTATTATGAACTACTGAAAAACAAGTGATGGGGAAAGTCAATGTATTTATTGCCTGAGAGTAAATTCATATCTTGCCCAAATATTTCATACAAATTCGGTTATTTCCTATATTTCACCGCCTTTTTCTGTGTGTGTGTGGGTGTGAAATAACATCATGGTTATTTCTGTGTAGAGTACCTGTATTTCTAATGATTGTAAAGCATGGAGAGGTTCCTTCATTTTGGCTATCCACCAAAAGAAATTAAGGAACACTCACTGAAACAAAGTAAATTATAAAGTAGCCGAGGAATTATCAAAGTTCTCACACCTTCACCTTGTAAACACAGTTGGCATGATCTGAGTTTTTTTTTCCTCGTCACACTCTTCCTCACTACAGCCATTTTTGTATTCTCCAAAACCACATGAGCATGGACCAGCATTCTTGTTTGTTGGTATACCATCAGTAGTAAGTAGAGTTAGTTTCTAAACAATCAACGTTACAGATGATTGCTTCACACTTTCGTCTACTGTTCAGGGGCCTAAGAGCAAGGGGCCTAGACTTTAACATTCACTAAACAATTTTTTTTCTATGGAGACGCCTTTGCATCTTTCAAGGCTTATAAAGTGTTATTTACAGCATTGGTGGCGCATACAAGAAGGTAAACCCGCACTGGATACAAGTATCACGTCAACACAGACAATATAAGCATCGTCATCTCCATAGCTAGTGGCTTGGGTGATTCAAAATTTCTCAGAAGCTGAAGTCAATAATTACACAAAAGTGAGTTCAACCACATCTACACGTAACTATGGCAATTGTATCTATGGCGCTATAACAGCCGAGGTGACATCCTGAATTATAACAGCATATTGTATATATAACATTAGAATAGGGATAATATGATCTGCTTGTATTAAAAGAAATAGCGATTGGTTTTATGACGAGGTAGATTCAGCCGTTCTCAGATGATGTAATACCTTCCTAATATAGCCTGAATTGTTGTCCGTTTAAGAATGGTGTCTTACTGGAGTCATAAAATACTCAAGCATTAAACCATACTTATGGACTGTGGGTCTAGAGTCAAATGATTAAAAACTTATGTAACCAGAAAACTGCAGCCAGAGTGACCATACCAGTTTTAAGTTGGAATAAAAATTAATCATCACTTCTAGACCCTAGAATCACTTGAGACTCACAAGGCCACCTGATACATATCCTGAATTCCATACTGCAATTCTGTGTACTGTGTCCCTGCTAAGCCACAAGCATGTTCCCAGGGTAAGCCTCGGGGGTGTTCTACTGCCGAGAAAAAAGCTATTTGAACAGATCCTATACAAACTGCTCATTATCAGTTCTAAATCTGGTTTCCTACCAGTTGCTTGCTCTAACCAACTATTAATCTGCTGTAAGAAACTTCTTTTAGAACATTAAATGTTAATCTTAGAATCTGCTTCAACTGTATGTGTTCTCGTGTAAATTCCCTCATAAACAAATTGGCCTGTCACACTGTCACCTTTTCCAACTGTGGAAGCACATCATCAATCAATGCTCTGTGCAGCAAGTTACTTGCAACACATTCAACCCTAAATCACAGACAAAACACTTTGCATTCCCTATTAACCTGCCAAGTGACAAGCCTTGCAGTAATAAAGACTTGATGACCTTGGCTATACAAGTAACCTTGGGTTACAGGCAGTTGTGCAAAGGTACACTCATCATTTACCACTAAAACCACTATAACGCGGTGAGTTTAGCATGGCAAATCCTCCCTACGCACTACCCTAACATCCTTCTAGTGGTGGGCCAGCATTAAGCCACAACAGTCTCTGAGTTGAGCTCACACAGGGTAGTGGGATCTGTGCCATCTGGTTTACTACCATCTACATCCATGGCTTGAGTAGCACTTGTTGCTGTGCTACTGGTGGCGACAACAGTCGGAACACTGGTGTCAGTGGCCCATGATGCTGCAGTGTGGGGGTAGGGGCGGGTACGGGCATCACGGCGAGCCTTGCGCCGAGCCCGTCTCTGCTCCATTATTAGTCTTAACTGTTCCACTTTCGTGCGCATTGCTTGGTTCTCATCACCAGAATCTGCAATAATTTAGATAATTACATAAGTTGTTCTTTCCACATCACACATACATTAAAATATTATAATGTCATTTGTATGTTTAAGGTCATCAGTACTATTAACTTAAGGCAAGGGATAAAGGATGCCTTAGGATTCACAGATGATAATTTATGGTAGTTAAATAAATCCAAGGTAATAAATATGTCTCCCCAATACTCTGCCTTTTCACTAAAACCAATACAATACATCAGCTTCCAGCAAGCGTACAGTACACTTTACTGCCTCAAGGTAAAACTTGTTACACAAATGCACGTCAAATGGGTTCACGTCCTAACAGGCCCTAATCTAATTAACTACAGTATAATTAAGGCACATTATAACATCTCCAGTGCTAATTGTAAGGTTGACAATTTTTAATGGAAAGCCCAAGTAGTCAGTCAACATGCCATAATTTTTTTCTTTAAGTATTGACAAAGTTTTGGTTCTACTGTGATACACACAAAAGATACGAGGAAATAGTAACCACCAAACATGATATTCAACTAGAGTACTTGTATTAATATTGTGTACTTTACTGGAGTGATCTGTGGGATACAGAACTGTATCAACATTGCATACAAGCTCTCTATCCCCTTTCCTTTACACCAGATTGTAAAGTACAGTAAATACCATAAGTAGTTTAGTAAGAGGTTGATGAAAAAGGATTAAATAAACCAAAAAGAAAGGACACATGAAATTTAGTTGATTAAAACCAAAAGGAAAAGGTTTATAAACATATAAGTGGATAATGGAACCAAAGGGAAAGTTTTTTAGAAAATCAATGTGAATGGGGTATATCAACATAGGAACCTGGGTTTGACACTATTAAATTTTAAGTCAGTTTTAAGAACTTGTTTTATAGTTTTATCTAACAAAAACATTTAATATTTTACCACAACTGGCAGATCAAAAGTACATGAGATACAATACGTGGCCATTGTTAGGTTCCACCACATCAAGTAAACAAAACAGCATATTTTTGTGTATTACTGTACCTTGTTCGGCAGTTTGTGCATTATCAGCAGATTTCCCGCCACCTGAATACGTCACAGAATCGTGTGACTGCAAGCCACTGGTGGAGGCGCCTCCCATCTGCTGTGTTCCCCGCCTGATGCTCCCACTACTACTCTTGTTGCGACTAGTGGTAGGAGTCGAGGTACTGAGGGAGATGTTGGTAGAGTGTCGACGATATTGGGGAGTGGCACATAAGAGGTCGTTAAGGATATGGATGATGGTGGAAATGTCCCGTTTTGGCCGTCCCTGCCTGTCCTGTAGTGCTGGGTTCAGTGTACCTGCAAGAAAACAAGATTTAATTAATTGAAATCAAAGAGTTCTAATACTGAACTGAATTCCATACCAATGTGCTTGAATGTTTGCCTTAAACTACAAGTAATATTTTTTCATTACCTTAAATTTCATATTGACATATAAGGGGTCATAGACGTATCAACAAAGGGTGTTTCTCACTATAGGCGCTGTAGCCACTTTATAGTTATATTCTACACAACAACAAAAAGTTTTCTTAGCCATTCATGTTTTTTTCCCTTACAGGTCTAACCTCTTAAGACCTAAATTTAAAACAGTTATAAAACCTCATTAGTGTTTTTAAAATACAGTAATTGTTTGTGGATATCTTTCTAGGCAGGAGCCACAGACTTCGTTTTTGTAACTAAATGTTTATTCCAGTTTAAGTGGTCATCAACACAGACACTAGGAATTTATGACGTCTGATACTCTGAGAAGGCATAATGGTGACATAACAGTCTCGGTATTTTGCAATGCTTGGGACTAAGACTTAAGACCGCAGTACAGTACAATTATACAGTACAGGTAGTGTAATATAGTACTGTACATAGGAGGTGGATCACTCGGGTAACTTATTGTTGTGACTGTGATATAAAGCTCGTGACCGACTTTCTTAGCAGTTCGACTGTTAAAGGGAAAATCAGTTTGGTTCAAGTATGGTTCAATTTTTACCTCGACTGTATAGTTGTATTTCATCTCACATACATAGGCATCTGTGGTCTAGGATTAGTGCCGGATTTAGGAGTGTTCAGAGTGTGTGGCCAAACAGGTCTATTTTTACCTGTACATGCACTGTACATGTATTATGTCGTTGCACAGCCTGGGGTGAGTTTTCTTTGCTATGAATAAACACTTTCATAACTTAATGGTTTGTGGGTCTGTTACTAAAATTAAGTAGTGTGGGACTTAGGGTACCCACACATCTCAGCTGCAAAGGGCCTCCACAGGCCTAAATCTGGCACTGTCTAGGATGGCAAACCTTAATAAATTACTGACTATCAAAATATACAGCAAGTATATTTCTATGCCATCAGTACAGTACTGTATTCTGAAGAGTGAAATACCTAGACTACAGTATTGATCACACTAAAATAATTAGAAAATACATTTTAAGTGTTAGTATGAAAGTACTGTAGTATAAAAGTTATATGTAAACTATTCTACACATTGTATCAAGATCTACATAAATTGTTACCTGAGAAAGTGCCTGAGTAAACCCCCTTGCCATGGTGGTGCATACTCTCAATTATGGCTCCCTGCTTCTTAATGCCACCAATGCCACTACCACTGTTGCTGCTACTTGAACTGCTGCTGCTGCTGTTGCTGCTGTTGTTGCTGCTGCTGCTGCTGCTGCTGCTGCTGCTGCTGCTGCTGTTGTTGCTGCTGCTGCTATTGCTGCTGCTGCTGTTGCTGGTGCTACTGCTGCTGCTACATCCACTGCCACTGATGTTGCTGCCACTACTGCTGTTGCTGCTGTTGTTACTATTACTAGTGCTACTGCTGCTATTACTGTTACCACCCATTGAGCCAAGGGATGTTGCAGCCACCTCATGAGGGGTAAGAGTTTCCTGAAAAGAAGTTCTCTTATTAGTAAAATTAAAACAAACTTTGGTTCACTGTAATTAATAGTATCACACATGGCAGTACCAGAGCATCTAATATGTGCAGCACACAGAAATATTGACTTCAAAGAATAATTCAAGTTAAACATATGACATAACACTGAACTCCACCTACAGAAGTAAGATTTTACAAAGTGAAATAAGAATTTGAATTCAAAGCTGACTGAAAGGAAAACATCACTTCTCATCTCACCTCCTTCTGCTCTGGCTTTGATGTTAGGACTTCAGAAGAGAGCTGCTTTAGTGTCTGAGTTAAGTTACGAGAAGCCTCAGCTAGTGCCTTGGTATCTAAGGAGGCCCTGGGATCAGTTTCTTCACCCCTGTGTGGACACCCTCTGACAGGAAGGTCCCCATCTAATCCAAGACCAGACGGTGAACTGGTGTTTGACCCACTTGAGGAGGAGGAGGAGGGGCTGTTAGGAGTGGAAGGGGAACCTGGTGTTGGCCGGTGATGATGGTGATGGTAATGTGGGGGAGTGGTTAGGTATGGGGGTGGAGGGGATGACGGAGATCCACAGCCCATACTATGGTGATGATAATGGTGATGATGTGAAAGATTGTGTTGGTGGTGAAGTGTTGCTGATGCAGAAGATGAAGGGGAAGAAGACGAGGAAGATGAAGACGACGGAGAAGATGGAGAATTGGCCCTAGATGTGTTGGGGGCTGCGGAAGTAGTCTGACTAGGGTTGATGGTCACAGAGGCTGGGATTGAGGACTGGTTGGACATATGGGATGTGTGCACAGGAGAATAACCTGAACAGGTAGCGTGAGGAGTGTAAGGTGGAGTTAGTGGATGCGTGGACGTCCGTGCAGATCCTCCGTGGTCGTGGCTATGTGAGTGTGTATGAGCATGTGCGTGGGTGTGGCTGTGAGTGTGGGTATGTGAATGAGTGTGTGCATGATTGTGTGTGTGGGCATGGGTGTGGGCATGGCTGTGTGTAGGTTGGAGTCGGGTCTTCCTTGAGCCACCGGGCGACACTGTGGACAGCTGGAGTTGAATGAGCATCATGTGATCTCCAAGACGCATGGTCAGATTTAATGGAGCCTTGCCTGTGAGGAAGTCATTCACCTGAAAGCAACATACAAATAAATTACTACATTAACTGCACAATGAATAAATCACTAAATATCCTATAAATAAGGCCGTATGACCAATATTTCGAAATACAAGTACAATTTGCTTGAGGAAGGAGGAACGTTAGAATGTATCAAACCTTCATGCAGTAACAACAAGCAAATCAAAAGTCTTGACATTAATTCCTAAACAGAGAACATTAAGCAGTAATTATCCCATATGATTTTAATTATATTTTCTTTTTACTTAACTCCGTGACTATGATGACTGAAGCAAGTTAGTACAGTAGCTAAAACAACTATCTGTGCATGTGACTAGTGACAGCCCTCATATACCAATATTTATCACCCATGGTCTCATATTATTTCCTACAAAGTATGCACAGATAGTTGTTTTAGCTACTGTACATATGACTCTTAACATCATCAAGAGAGATAATACTGTACAGAATAATAAACACTTAAAAAATAACCCAACAGTAGCCATAGACTGTACAATGTTTGGTTGTTTTTGACTGCATGTTCATTCCAAGGTGAAACTCGTATTAAAGGAAATTGTTAATAGTTTGTGAGATTTGGCAAGTTCAAGATGACAATACTGTACAATAATACTCTATCATTCCCTCCACCAGGAAAGCTTATGATGTTAATTCAGCTTCATGATGCTGATTTCTTCAATATAAAACAAACTGGAATTTTTTTAAAGCTTAACGTGAATAAATTTACCACAAAGTTTAGTCAATAAATTCTTGCCATTACCCTTCTGCAATTTTTAAACAGTGAGCATCGTGACAGGTGTGTAGGCATCATGACAGGTGTGTGGGTGTCATGACAGGTGTGTGGGTGTCATGACAGGTGTGTGGGTGTCATGACAGGTGTGTGGGTGTCATGACAGGTATGAACTACTCACCTGACCATCATTGAGACTCTCCAGAGCCTGCATGACACTCTGCTCCGGCCGCTGCGTCTGTAAAAAAAAAAAAAAAAGTACACCGTTAATTAAAAACACTAAATATCAACATTCAGAAATAAAATCCAATTTAAACATCACACAGGTACAGAATCTAGTGAGAAATACAAAATAACATCACATAGGTACAGAATATCTTGTGAAATACAACTAAACATCACATAGGTACAGACTCTAGTGAGAAATACAAAATAAAACATCACACAGGTACAGAATCTAGTGAGAAATACAAAATAAACATCACAGGTACAGAATCTAGTGAGAAATATAGAGTTAACTGCTATGAGGCCTGACACCAGCTGACCCTATCTGGATTAACAAGAGCGTTAGGACGCCCCTACCTATATGGCATGACGTGTAGGAGGTAGCTCATCAGACCCCTCCCAGAAAAAGGTCCTTCCCATTAACTCACCATGTCACCCCTGTCCCTTCTTTCCCTCTTCCATCTTTCTTCTCCCACTCCTTTTCCCCCACTCCACTAACAAGTCATTCTCCTCCTCCTCCCACTCTTACTCCCTACCAGGTAACATCCCACTCTCCCCCCTCCCTCCCCCAAAACAAGTCACTCACCTGTATCCCTTCCCTCTCTGTACACAATCCCACCCCCCCCTCCTCCTCCCAGTACTAAACACAACCCCCACTCCCACCCCTTCAATCCAGTTCACCTTAGTAGTACCTGGAGAACACTAAACAAGGTGTCAAATATCCCTTATTCATATATCAAAGGGGGGGAAAAAAAGGTAAGGATAGAGATTTTCCTCAGATGTTGCCTTGGCGACGGATTTTCTTATGTCACCTGCTAACTCGCCCTGTCCCTCGATGGCCAAGGTCCACCACCACCACCAGAATGGAAAGGGAGAACGAAAAGAGAGAGAGAGAGAGAGAGAGAGAGAGAGAGAGAGAGAGAGAGAGAGAGAGAGAGAGAGAGAGAGAGAGAGAGAGAGAGAGAGAGAGAGAGAGAGAGAGAGAGAGAGAGAGAGAGAGAGAGAGAGAGAGAGAGAGCACCAAGAATGGAAAGGAGAACGAAAAAAAAGGGAAGAAGGGGAAACAGAGAGAGAGAGAGAGAGAGAGAGAGAGAGAGAGAGAGAGAGAGAGAGAGAGAGAGAGAGGAAAACTAAAACTGAGAAACGAAGAGAGAGGGAAACAGGTCGTGTCCAGGGATTATATGGCGGCTGTAGCAAATACGGGATAAAAATGAGAGAGGGAGGAGGAGGGGGAGGATGGTGGAGAGGGAAATGAGAAAGAGAGAGAGGAAGAGAAGAGGGAGGGGGGAGAGAGAGAGAAGAGAAGAGGGAGGGTGGGGGAGAGAGAGAAGAGAAGAGGGGAGGGTGGAAGAGAGAGAGGAAGAGAGAGAGAGGAAGAGAAAGGATGATGGAAAAGAGAGAGAGGAAGAGAGAGAGAGAGAGAGAGGAAGAGAAGGGATGATGAAGAAGAGAGGAGGATGAAAAAGAGGAAGAGTTAAGGAAAGATAAAGAAAGGAACCATATGAAAGAAAGAGAAGAGGGAGAAGGAAAAGAGAAAGTGAAGAAGAAGTAAAGGAGAGAGAAATGAGGATGGAAATGGAGAAAATGAGAAAGATTAAGCAGAAGAAATTGCAAAAACGTGTAAAGGAGAGGAATGAAGGAAGGAAGGAGAAAGAGAGAGAGAGAGACACATTTGCAGTAACGACTTTACAATACAGAAATTGATTAATAATAATAGTAGTAGTAGTAGTAGTAGTAGTAGTAATAGTAGTTGCAGTAATAATAGTACCACCACAACACAATATCAACCACAGCAACACACAAACAGCTGTAGTTTACATCACAAACAACTACAGGAATGGTCACCCGTCTTCCTCCCCCTCCAGCAATGCCTCTACTACAGTCACCATGGGGGAGGGGGGAGGGGGGGGGAGGGGGGAGACACTGTATTTATAAAACTGTACTTGTATTCTGAGTTTAATTCTTCTTAATCCAGTACAAAAACAGTCGTAAATGAAACCACACAAACATTTACAGCATTTGTGAGTGAAACAGTATAAACAGACAGCATTTACAGCCGTACTAGACAGAATAACGGCAAACAGAATAGCTGCTGTTATTGTGCTGCCAATCACAGCCATACAGAGAAGCTTGTGGTGGTGGTGGTAGGTGGTGGTAATTGTGGTGGTAGAGTGGTGAGTGGTGGTGGTAGTGGTGGTGGTGGTGGTAGAGTGGTGGTGGTGGTTAGTGGTAGTGGAAATGATAGTGGTAGTGAGTGGTGGTGATAGTCATTAGTGATAGTAGTGGAAGTGTGTGATAGTGTTAGGTGGTGGTCAGTAGTGAGTGAGTGAGTAGTAGTGTTAGGTTAGTGGTAGGTGGTGGTAGTGGTAGGTGGTGGTGGTAGTGGTGGTGGTGTTGGGTGGTGGAGGTGGTGGTGGTGGTGGTGGTGGTGGAGTGGTGGTGGTGGTGTGGGTGGTGGTGGTGGTCATTCAGTGGTGGTGTGGTGTTGATGGTGGAAGGTGGTGGTGTGGGTGGTGGGTGAGGTGGTGGTGGTGGTGGTGGTGGTGGTGGTGGAAGGTGGTGGTAGGTGGTGGTGGTAGGTGGTGGTGGTGGTGGTAGTAGTGGTAGGTGGTGGTGGTGGTAGTAGTGGTAGGTGGTGGTAACATCAACAGTGTTACCACCAGCAGCAACAGTGATACCAGACCCACGACCATCACCAGTAACAACAGTGGTAAGAGAAATACTAACAGCAACAGCTAGGCTACAGCAACACCACAGCAGCTATAATACAGCAGCTACAACACCACAGCAGCTACAGCAACACCACAGCAGCTACAGCAACACCACAGCAGCTACAGCAACAGGATCGACCAAAACTTGTTGTAGCCTCCCCCTTGCATCTTGCCTTTTTACACTCTGGAGGCAAAACAAAGCCGAGCGGCCCCCCAAACGCTAATCTATCGCCCCCGCCCTCCTCCTCCTGCTGCTGCTGCTCCTACTTCTGCTGCTCCTGCTGGCACTCTACAGCAGAAGGTAGAGGAGGAGGGGTGGGAAGTGGGGGGGAGGGAACACTGCAGGCTGGCTGATGGAAAGGGAACGGAAAAGTAGAAGGGGAAACATGTGAGATAGAGAGGGATGTGTGTAGCCAAGGGAGAGATGTGTGGCCAAGGGAGAGATGTGTGGCCAAGAGGAAGATGTGTGGCCGAGGAAGATGTGTGGCCAAGGGAGAGATGTGTGGCCAATGGGAGATGTGTGGCCAAGGGAAAGATGTGTGGCCAAGGGAGAGATGGCTATTGAGGAAAGATATTATTGGCCAAGGGAGATGTGTGTGAGAAGATGAGGATGGCAAGCAGAGAGAGAGAGAGAGAGAGAGAGGAAACAGTGATTGAAGGAGATAGGAAGAAAGGGAGGATGGTAAAAGAAGGAATGAGAGGACGAGAGAGAGAGGGAGAGAAAGAGAGAGGGGGAGACAGAGAGAGGGAAGGGAGGGCATCATCACCACACACACACACCCTATCCTCCCTCTCCCTCTATCGACCATCGTTCACCCTCCCTTAACTAAACCCCCTGCACACCTCCCTCCACCAACCAGCATCCTCCCCCCTTCCCTTCCCTCTCTCCCCTTCCTGTAATCACTTATCTCCCCTCTTCTCCCCTCTCTCATCTACTACCCCCCTCCCTCCTTCCCTCCCCTCCCCCATCTTTCCCTCCCTCTCCCTTTCTTCTCCCCACCCTTCACCCTTACGGAAATAATCTTCATTTATCAGGGAGGGACGGAGGGAGGGAGGGAGAGAGGGGGGGGGGGAGGGGGGGGGGGGGGGGGTGGCGCTTTCAGTGTACCGAATGAACTGGGCAACTTGATACGCACCCACAGACAGACAGACAGACATATCCTGACTATAGACCCTATCCTAGGCCTGGGGGGTATAATAAGAGAGGTGGGTATCCTGCACTACCCACTAAAGGTCCACGAGTCCTTCAAGTCCTACACGATATCCTTGGGACAATTACTGTAGGATATTAATTTTGTGATTTCTGTATATCTTCTACTTCTTCTTCTTCTACTTCTTCTTCTTCTTCTTCTTCCTCTTCCTCCAGGTTGAATAAATGACCTCGCCAAAACAAGCACTCACTAACCTAACCTAACCTAAACCTAACCTAACCTAACCTAACCTAACCTAACCTCGGCGGCTCCAACTACACGTGGCGTCAAATTATCGATAATTATTTTCATCTTCACCAACTCCTCTTCTACCCCTCCTCCCCCTACCCCCCCAGTGTCTCCTTTTACTCACCTGAGGATCTGTCTCTACCTCCCTTCCTCCCTCCCTCCTCCCTACCTCCTTCCTCTCGCTATCCTGCCCTTCTCAACACCTATCTATATCTATCTCTCTCTCTCTCTCTCTCTCTCTCCTTCAGGTAACTCGATATGGTGTGTGTGTGTGTGTGTTCTGGTTTTGAGAGAGAGAGAGAGAGAGCTTGGAGGGAGGGAGTGAGAGTGAGAGAGAGAGAGAGAGAGGCAGAGAATTGAGAGAGAGAGAGAGAGCTTGGAGGGGGAGTAAGAGAGAGAGGAGAGCTTGGGGGAGTGAGAGAGAGAGAGCTTGGAGGGGTGAGAGAGAGCTTGGAGGGAGTGAGAGAGAGAGAGAGAAGAGAGCTTGGAGAGAGAGAGAGAAGCTTGGAGAGAGAGAGAGCTTGGAGAGAGAGAGGCTTGGGGGAGTGAGCAGAGAGAGGAGACGCGGCTTCGGATAAGCTGCTTTGAGAAGGTGCTTCCTGTAAGACGATTACAGTAATGGTTCTTTCCAGGGTGTTGGCCTCTCTCTCTTTCTCTCTCTCTCTCTCTCTCTCTCTCTCTCTCTCTCTCCGGCACCCACAGGACTTCCCCCCTCCCTTCTTCTCTCTCTTCTTCCTTCCTCCCTCCATTTCCCCTTTCTACGAGGGGAGATTAAGACTCCCGGTGGAAATTCCAACTCTCCTTCTCCCTCCCCTCTCTCACCAGCGATACTCTCCCTTTCCCTCTTACCAAGGATGCCCTC